TTGATGTTTGCTTTATAATATCATCCATAGATCCTCTACCAAAGTTGTTCAAATTTTGCCCCTGGTGTCAAAATTGGCCCTGCCAGGAGGCATTGATTTTCATTATGTACACATAGTAAAAACAGAAACTAAAACAAATGTTTTCTGAATTGGAGAATTTAGCTACAGCTTAGATATTTGACATGAAATGCTGTTTGGTGGACCTGTATTAAGATTGTTTGAATTAAACTCTTGGGTTAAAATTTTGCCTTGCCCAAGGGGAAGGACAGTGACCTACTTTCTTGTCCTTTGAAGTACAGCCATGAAATTTGGACTATGTGCACAGTTTTATTTTTTAATTTAGACTTTAATATCAGGTGACCTAGATTTTGATGATGTGACCTACTTTATTGTCCTTTGATGTACAGCTATGAAATTTGGACTATGTGCACAGATTTAGAATATTGTAAAGTGAACTATGATATCAGCTGGCCTAGATTTTGACAAAGTGTCTTACTTTGTTGTCCTTTGATGTACAGTCATGAAATTTTGGCCATGTGAAATATGACCTTCACCACCAAATTCACTAGACTCAACTGCATTGATAGATTCCTACTCTGATCTTTTATTTGAATAACAATAGATTTAACCACTAATCTGATAATAAGAATTAGATAGGTCAGTGATCTATGCATTATGGCAATTAATCTTCAATTGTATAGAAACAAAAAAATTCTGTTCCTACATTTCTATTTAGTGTTGTATTAATGTGGTGGCATAGCATTTTTCACAAATGCAATCTTGTTTTTAGCTCGACTATTCGAAGAATATGAGAGCTATTGTAGTCGCCCCGGCGTCGGCGTCAGCGTCCGCGTCTGCGTTGGTTAAAGTTTTTTGTAAAGTCAAATATCTCAATTATTGCTTGAGATATTCAATTGAAACTTACAATACTTATTTATAGTAACAAGGTACATCAGGTTGACAAGTTGGATAACTCTGCCTACAATATTGACAGAATTATGCCCCTTTTTTACTTAGAAATTTTGGTTAAAGTTTTTTGTAAAGTCAAATATCTCAATTATTGCTTGAGATATTCAATTGAAACTTACAATACTTATTTATAGTAACAAGGTACATCAGATTGACAAGTTGGATAACTCTGCCTACAATATTGACAGAATTATGCCCCTTTTGAACTTAAAAATTTTGGTTAAAGTTTTTTTGTAAAGTCAAATATCTCAATCATTGCTTGAGATATTCAATTGAAATTTAAAGTACTTTTTATAGGAACAATGTACATCAGTTTGCAAAATTGCATAACTCTGCCTGCAATATTTGCAGAATAATTTGCCGCTTTGAAACTTAGAAATTTTGGTTAAAGGTTAAAGGTCTTCAAAGATATTTACTTGAAACTTTACACATGCACTTAGGGTCATAATTGGAGGGTCATAATTGTATGTCACTGACCAAGTTCCATAACTCTATCTTGCATTGAGGCTGATTCATATCCCCTTTTCTACTTAGTCTCTAGGTTAATGTTTACATGCAAGTTTTACATATCTCAATAACTATTAAAGATATTTATTTAAAGATCCTGTAACACATTTTTTTCATGGTTTTATTTCATAAATATGACGCTCAAAGTAAGATTTGTCAGTCTTGTAAGTTCAAATAAGCATTATCTTTAAAGATATTAACCAATTTAACATTTTGCGTAAATAAAGGGAGGTAATTAGAAATTTATTTTCTATAAATTCCAAGTCAAATTTTCCAATAAGAAATGAATGCATGTAAATTATTGATTAAATATAATGTGCACAAATATTTGCAGTACACATTTTACATATTCTTGGATGTTTGAAAATTGTTTTATTTGCATAATTATATACATATATAACATTTTGCAAGTGTATGATGCATACAGTAACAATATCAATCACAAAACATACAGGATCTTTAAAACTTCACATATGCATTTAGGGTCATAATTGTAGGTCACTGACAAATATCCTTAATTCTATCTTGCATTTAGGCTGATTTTTCTCCCCTTTTTCAACTTAGAAATTCATGGTAAAGTTTTGCTTGTAAGCTGTTCATGGTAAAGTTTTGCTTGTAAGCTGTTAACTCAGTAACTACTGAAGGGTTTGTGCTTTTTTTGGGAATCCCGGACAATCCCCCTCCCGGACGATTCCCCTTCCATATTATTTTCACAACCCGGACATTTCCCCTCTCGTTATTTTAATAGGGCGGACTTTTCCCCTCCCGTTAATTTTACAGGGCGGACAATTCCCCTCCCGTTATTTTAGCAGAGCGGACAATTCCCCTCCCGTTTTTTCACAGAGCGGAACGTGACATTATACATCCCTTAATCATAGCCGCCTATGCGAATAAAAAAAATCTATAAACATTCTTATTAAAGATGACAGTCTTTACTCTTAACAACAAACTGTTAAAGATCGGAACTTTTAACAATCATTATTTCACAAAGGTGACATTATACCGCCTTTAATCATTGCCGCCGCTGCTTAAGATAAACAAACTGTCAATAAAAAAATCTTTAATCAATGCCGCACTTAATTAAATGTGTCCTTAATTGCAAAACCAATTATTGACAATTATTAATTATCGTTAAAGCAGATCACAATAATTGTTTTGTAATTAGTGTACAAAAAGTATTTACTATTTTATAATTAGTCTATTTATTATTAAAGATGACAGTTTTTACTCTTAACAACAAACTGTTAAACTGAAAACATTTATAATATTGTCAAATCTTTCTTCAAATCACTTCCAAAATGGAAATTATTACAACAAGAAACTGTACCAAAAAACTTTGTCATGATGGATACGTTTATACCAAGAAGAGAACAACAAAATCTACTATACGATGGGAGTGTTCCCAGAGGTACGCCCAAAAATGCAAGGGTGCTGCGGTGACAGACTTGAACGTAAATGGTTTTAGACACCTTGTAGGACACAGTAATCCATCATTGTGGACAGTTATAAATTGCCTCCAGAAAGACAATTCATTAGTAGAGACAGAGGTGTATAGAGACAGTGTAGGAGAAAATGTGAGGAAACGTAGGAGAAAAGAAACAGTCTCTCATCAGAGAAAACTCAAGAAACTGTGCGAGGAAATTCAGTCGGGAACGAAATCAACCCAGGAATTCCTACATGCCATAGGAAAATGTGTAAGACTTGTGAAATGAAGTAGAACTCCTACAAATGTGTTATAAAATCAAAATGATCACTGATATTTTGTGTTAGGACTTGACTTCATGGTGAATGAGATTTTCTAATCATAATGACGATGATGACAGTTCAATTTACTATAACATGTGCATAATATATTCTTTGCAAGAATCTATAGCTTAATTGCTTTTTTGTTCTCATCAATTGTTCTTTTATTGTTTTGCCGCTGCAAAAATGTATTGACGAAATAAAGATTATTTTAAAAAACTGGTTTTGTTTTGTTTATATTCATGAATGAAAACTGGGGATATACCATTCGCTCGTCCGCACTAGAGACAAGCAAAATGTATTTAAAGCCGATTAAAACTACCTTTCAAATAAATAATATTATATAATATATATATTCAACAGCGGGAGGGGAATTGTCCGGGTTGTTAAAAGAACGGGAGGGGAATTGTCCGGGTTGATAAAAAAACGGGAGGGGAATTGTCCGCCGTAAAAAAATAACGGGAGGGGAAATGTCCGGGTTGTGAAAAAACATTCAAATTTACTGGGAGGGGGATCGTCCGGGAGGGGAATTGTCCGGATTCCCTTTTTTGGGACAATTTTATGCATTCATAATAATAAAGCAGTGATTTACTTGATAAAACATCTTAATAACAAGCCTTTGTACCTTTTCTGTCAAATTTATGTATTCATAGGTAATTAGTATTATTATACTCAATAAAACACCCTTGTGACATTACCTTCCGAATTGTCAAGCCAATACTGTATAATTAGACTCTCCCTAAGGCCTATAACATGAATTTATAAAAAAAAATTAGCCCTTTTGTGAACTTAAAAAATTTAACATTATCAAGGCTCTTTTACTTATAATAATCAAGCACTTAGAATAGTCGAGCGTGCTGTCCTACCGACAGCTCTTGTTCTACTTGGTGGGCCTTATTCAAAATATCCGTTAAATTTACTCAAATCAGAGGCTGTTTTCAAAGTTTGCATAAATTTTCTTAAAAGTATATTGGTTGTGCTTGTCAAATATAAAATATTTTTACCGTCTAGTTTTTATTTTATTAGACTTTGAAAATTTTAGGTACCATATTTGATAATAAATTGGGCACAATTAGCCAATAAATACCAATAATAATTTCATAATTAAAATGAAACACTTTTTTCTTCTCAAGAGTGATCTGAGAGACACAAATAATGTTCAAAGAAAAAAAAAAGAAAGAAAAAAAAGTTGCCTCTTCTGGGGCTTGAACCTGGCCCCTCAGTTACAATTCTGTTGACAGTAGTTCTAGCCTATTTGAATACTCTTCAAAGTAGAACAAAGAAACAATCTGTGGTAAAACTTACATGTAACATTTGATTGATATATAAAAGTTGTAATTACTAAAATAGATGTTAAATAAGTTAACTGTATTGAAACTAATACCATGCATGGATTTGTTATTTGTATAAACTGATTAGATCTGATGAAGTTTTCGTCTGGTTATATTCAGCAACAGATTGTACCCATTCCATCAGTGCAGACCAAAGTAGGCCTGTACAACCATGCCATCTGATCTTGGTTTGCACTGTTCACTACTTAATAAATATTATTTAAAATATTCCACACAAAAAATCAAGAATGGTTTTGTCCAGATTGAAAGATGAACAAGTTCATGTGAATGTTACCATTTTAGTAAGTCTTTGTCTTCAGGAATATGTCACATAAAATAATTAGCTCATGTCTGCAAAATATACCCATTTTATAGTATAACAAAAATCCAAGTATCTTGATGTCTAGAAAGCAGATTTAGGGCTGAATGATATACTTTTCTTGTTTTCAGTTGATTTAAATGTAACAAAGAAAAGTTTTGGGTTTGCCAAGAAGCATAAAATGCCATTTTACTTTGTGTCTGCATCGGATGGTACTAATGTAGTTAAGGTAAGGTATTCTTTTTACTTTTTAGTAGGGATGGCAATGAGTAACCGGGTAACCGAGTACTCGATCGAACATCCGAATATCAATTAACAAAATTGATTTGACCTAAAATATGTTTAACCTTGTTATTTATGAAATAACATACTATATATTAAAAAAAATCTAAAAGAAAAAAAAAAATGTTATATCATTATAGACAAGTTATGCAACATCCGAGTACGAAATTTATGTATTTAACAATACAAGAGATTTTTTTTAATGTATGTATATTGTATTGCATAAATAACAAGATTTAAAACATTTTAGATCAAATCAATGTCACTAGCACATTTAGTATTGGGTAATACAACTTTGAAGGTCATTGGAAATCATCTGAGTAACCGAGTACTGGATTGGAAAAATGACCGAGTACTCGAGTAGTAGTTTTGGTATTCGTTGCCATTCCTACTTTTTAGCTTGACTATACAAAGTACATGTATATGGGTTGAGAGCTGTCCTGCTCACCCTGGCATCAGCTTACAGATTTCAGATTAAATTATTGTGTCGCCTTGAAAAGCGTTGACATATAGGGGTTACATTTGTCGGCGGCATCGTTGTCAGTGTCGGTCGCGTCCCCTAAGGCTTATCCGGAGCATACTACTCAGTCACTATAAGTCGGATTGACTCCAAACTTGGTATGCATGATTCCTTCAATAACCCAAAGTGCAGTGCACAAGAATCGTTACTCTGCACGTCTTAATTGAGTTTTTACCCTTTGTTAATTTTCATACTTTAATTTTGTCTGGGCCATTTCTCCTAAACTATAAAAGCTATAGACTTGAAACTTCATAGGATGATAAATGTTACTGTAAAAAAGTGCAGTGCACAAAAACTGGTACTCTGCTCTTCTATTTTTTAGTTATTGCCCTTTGTTAATTTTCATATTTCATTTTTGTCCGGGCCATTTCTCCTAAACTATAAAAGCTTTGGACATGAAATCTTCATAGGATGATAGTTCTCTTTCTTTGAGATGAAGTGCAGTGCACAAAAACTGGTACTCCATGATTTTTGAGTTATTGCCCTTTGTTTATTTTGTTACATTATTTTTATCCATTTCACCTAAACTATAAAAGGATGATTACATTTTACTGAACAGGTAGAATAACCTAACATGTATTATTTGTAGGTCACAAGGTGTTAGAACATAGACAGGTCATGGCGAACGTATTAATATTTTAATCTTTACAGGATGGGAAAAAGCAATATTACGTTTACGCAGTTACTGATGGTGAACATGCAACCACTGGATTACAAAAATATACAGTTTCAAACATTTTTTTTGGTTCAGCTATATTGGTCATTTTGTAGCCCATCAAATTGTTGGCCAGGACATTTTGTAATATACTACAACCACCCTTCATGAAGACAGACATCTGTTTAGAATTAGTTTGTAAATAATTGGTCAGTCTTGCAGTCGAATTATTGAGACTAGTCATTTTGTAGAAATTGAGCTATATTTCGGAAAAGCACCATTTTGTGCTTCATCTGATTATTTATAAGCATTGATATAAACATTGGACAATATTTATAAGCATTGATATATAAACATTGGACACATTTTTTAAGCATTTAAAAATGTTCTTGAAACCTTACTAATGTAACTGTGTACAACGGGCTGTATAATATATAGAGATACTGTATGCTGCCCCCTTCAAACGTGCATGAAACAGAAATATGATAGATGTCAGTCTGTAAAATTGGTTTGACTTTCTGTAGCCTAGAATTGTTTCCTGAAATATGTTAACTGGTAAATAACATGCACAGCAAATGAGCCACACTTAGCTAAAACCAACCTTCTTCAGCCATTCATTAAAAAATTTCCCGAATTTGCTTGTTTACAGATTATTTAAGGTGTTCTAATTTTTTACCATGTGAGAATTGACCATTCCAATAGACGGAGCTTAATTCTCCATATTTGGAATCTGCCTTATTGATCACTTGATAAAACCACTTAATGATTTTACTTAATAAATATTATGCAAAATGTTAAAATATACAGATAAATAGAGCAAAACTTTGAAAATCTCTGGATGATGATTAGATAAAAATCACTGGAAGGGGCAAGTTTTAATATCATGTGCCTGGGTAGAATCTAATCTTATCAGTGTCAAGTTGTTTATTGGCTGGTCAGTGTTTATTCAACTGATTAGGTGCTTGTATATCACCTTTTAGTGTAGTAAAAAATTTTTAAAAGCATCTTCTCTAAATCTACAAGAGCTAAAACTTAGCTTCCATAGCAACCAGTGACTTTTTAGCAGCCATTGACGTTTCATAGCAAACTGTAAATTTTCAGAGCTACTAGCAAACTTAAACTTTCCATAGCAAAGATCGAATCTACCATTGAATTTCACAGCAGGCACTGACTTCCAAGGAAATCATTTATTTTGTATAGCAAACAGTGACATCTTATAGAAATGTTTTTATGCCCCCACAAAGTGGGGAGCATATAGCGTTGCACTTGTCCGTCCGTCCGTACGTCTGTCCGTACGTCCCGAAATCTTGTGAACCTCTTAAACTGGATGGCAGATTTTGCTTAAACTTCCAGGGATGAACAACCTTAATGTGTAGATGGTAGTAAAGGAAGGAATTTTCGCTGCGACCAAATTTAACAGAATTATGGCCCTTTGTTGATATTTTAACTATATACTATGTAGAAATTTTGTGAACGCAACTCCTCTTAAACCAGATGGCAGATTTTGCCTAAACTTCCAGGGATGAACAACCTTAATGTGTAGATGGTAGTAAAGGAAGGAATTTTTGCTGCAACCAAATTTAACAGAATTATGGCCCTTTGTTGATTTTTTCACTATATACCATATAGAAATTTGCACAGTGGGGGCATCCGTGTCCTTTGGACACGGTTCTAGTTTTCCCTTAGCAATGGCAACCAGTAAAGTTTTTACACATGTACTATTTCAGATACTAAAATAGAAAGATTTTATTTCTGTTTTTATTAATAGTTTACAATATTACTTGATTCTTGTCGCGGAGAATATTTATATTCAGGTGAGCGATATAAGGGCCATCATGGCCCTATTGGTTTTTAGCTCACCTGTCACAAAGTGACAGGGTGAGCTTTTGTGATCGCTTTTCGTCCGTCGTCCGTCCGTCGTCCGTAAACTTTTACTTTAAATGACATCTCCTCATAAACCACTAGGCTAATTTCATCCAAACTTCACAGGAATGTTCCTTTGGTGGTCACCTTTAAAAATTGTTCAAAGAATTTAATTCCATGCAGAACTCTGGTTGCCATGGAAACCGAAAGAAAAACTTTAAATATCTTCTTTTAAAGAACCCAAAGAGCTAGAGCTAAGATATTTAGCATGAAACATGTTCTAATGAGTGTCTACCAAGTTTGTTCAAATAAAAGCCCTGGGGTCAAAATTGGCCCCGCCCCAGGGGGTCATTGATTTTCCCTATATGCATATAGTAAAAACTTAAATAATCTTCTTTTAAAGAACTCAAAGAGCTAGAGCTAAGATATTTAGCATCAAACATGTTCTAATAGGTGTCTACCAAGTTTGTTCAAATAAAAGCCCTGGGGTCAAAATTGGCCCCGCCCCAGGGGGTCATTGATTTTCCCTATATGCATATAGTAAAAACTTAAAAAATCTTCTTTTAAAGAACTCAAAGAGCTAGAGCTAAGATATTTAGCATCAAACATGTTCTAATAGGTGTCTACCAAGTTTGTTCAAATAAAAGCCCTGGGGTCAAAATTGGCCCCGCCCCAGGGGGTCATTGATTTTCCCTATATGCATATAGTTAAAACTTAAAAAATCTTCTTTTAAAGAACTCAAAGAGCTAGAGCTAAGATATTTAGCATCAAACATCTTCTAGTGAGTGTCTACAAAGTTTGTTCAAATAAAAGACCTGGGGTCAAAATTGGCCCCGCCCGGGGGTCATTGATTTTCCTTATATGTGTATAGCAAAAACTTAAAATCTTCTTTGAATAAACCCAAATAGCTAGAGTTTAGATATTAAGCATGAAACATCTTCTAGTAAGTGTCTACAAAGTTTGTTCAAATAAAAGCCTTGGGGTCAAAATTGGCCCCGCCCCGGGGGTCATTGATTTTCCTTATATGTGTATAGCAAAAACTTAAAATCTTCTTTAAAAAAACCCAAATAGCTAGAGTTTAGATATTAAGCATGAAACATCTTCTAGTAAGTGTCTACAAAGTTTGTTCAAATAAAAGCCCTGGGGTCAAAACTGGCCCCGCCCCAGGGGTGACATTGTTTTTAACTATATGTGTATAGTAAAAACTTTAAAAAATCTTCTTTTAAAAAGCCCAATGAGCTAGAGCTTAGATGTTTAGCATGAAACATCTTCTTATGGGTGTGGCGGAGCTATATACAGGTGAGCGACCTCAGGGCCATCATGGCCCTCTTGTTTTATTATGCTCCCCTTCAAAGAAGTTGGAGTATATTGCTTTGCATTTGTCTGTGGGTCTGTCGATCAGTCCTTTGACCAAATGGTTTTTCGATCGGTCCTTTGACCAAATGGTTTTTCAATCAAAAACTAAAGAACGGCTACGCTTAGGAACTTAAACTTGGTATGGCGATTGTTCAGAGATGACACCTGTTGCTTTTGGGGTCTTAAGGTCAAAGGTCAAGGTCAAATTGACCTTGAATGTCAAAATGGTTTCCAATTTATAACTCAATAACTCATTGGCCTTTGACCTTCAAACTTCACAGGTGCATTGGCCTTTAGATGACCCCCTATTGATTTTGGGGACAAAGGTCAAGGTCATGTTGACCTTGTAGGTAAAAACCATTTCTGATCAATGACTTGACAACCCCTCAAACTGCATATTTTCATTGGTTTCTAGAGTTATGAACCTTGTCACATAAGATGTGGTTGATGATAAGGAACATATATTTGAAATTTGAAATAAATACGAAACAACATATGTTTGAAAAACATGTATGCCCCCTATCAGCAGCCAACTAGTTATGTGGCCAGGTTATTTTTACTGACTTTTGATCTAGTGACCAAAAAATCAATAGGTGTTATCTACTGGTCATGACTAGTCACAAAGTAATTGTGTCCGTAAAGGTTGTGTGCTGCAATTGTATGACAAAGTTATCATAAATCTTACCAAATAATATATGCATAAAATTTATTAATCATGTAGGCCTCCTTAATGACAGCCAATTTGTTTTATTACATTAGACCATGAAATGTGTATACCAAAAGCAATTTAAGTTTAATAAAGAATATTAACCAAGGCAACTTGACTTCAGTTGCTTGTATATTTATTCAGATTTGTAGATTAATTGCTGTTGAGAAAGTCTTATAGGCAGTTTTGTATGATAATTTTAGAGATGATGAAAAAAAAATTATATTGCAAGAGTGTGAATATAAAAGCCTAAAAATTATGAAGCTAGTTTTAATGTCTTTCTTGCTTGATGTCAAATTTGCATAATTACTTTTATCTTTCAGATGTTTAAAAATGCAATAAAAGCAGCTGTAGGCTACAAAAACAACAGTACAGACTTTATGGATGAAATCATGAGAGAATTAGAGGTAAAAATGTTTATCTTTCTATAAAATTTAACATAATAATAATAATGTTTCAATATTATATCAGGACTACTGAATGAAACTTGTATTTGGAGACTAGTCAATAATTCTAGTCTCTGATTGGTTCTCTCTAATTACAGATTCAAATCAACCAATGATAGAATTCAAGACTGGTATTCTATAATTGAATCATAATTCTTGACCATAGACTGTATGAACTATTATTTTTTATGTCCCCCTACTCTAGGGGAAGCATTTAGATTTGCCCTTGTCTATCTGTGCATGCCTCTGTTCCAGAATGTTGTGTCACATGTACCTCAAAATCTGTTTGAGCTGGAGTCAACAAACTTTACAGGCATGTTAACCAGCGAGTGAAGTTGTGCACCTGTGGTTTGACATGTGAATTAATTCAGTATTTGTAAAGCTATTGCCCTGACTTAGTAATATTTGCAATTTTCACCTTGTGTTGTGTGTAACTCAAACAGTATTTTACCTAGAATCATGAAATTTTACAGGAATGTTGGTAAGCATGTGTAGTTGTGCCTCTTAGGGTTTGATTGTTATTATTTTCTTTAAAGTATACTTAAATATATACAGTAGAGATTTGGAATTCTTGCAGCTCAATATTTGAAAAAATCAAGATGTCAACATAGGGAAAAGTGGAAGTCATTTTTTTTCACCAACCTTTTTTGGGTAGGGGAAATCATGTAGAATTTCCTTTGTCCATCTATCATACTGTCCTGCTATATGTCAGTAGGCTGACAAAACAGTGGAATGTGGGGGCATAGGTGTCCTATGTGACACATTTCTAGTTGTTGTTTTTTTTTAAGAAAGAACATTCATTAGTTAAAATAGAAATGTTTCTTATGATTATGATAAGAAAATGTAGCTTAGAAGTTTCTTCAGATGTTTTAGTTAAAGAATGACCAGAAAAGCTAAAGGTATGGCTTACACTTGCAAGGATTCAGGGCAGGTTTTATGCATAATTTAAATAAAAGGGGAAATATTTTATCATGTGCACTTGGTAGTATGAAAAAGTGCTGGAACAATTATTTCTAGTAAATATATAAATAACACATACACATATTATAGATCTGACACTGACTTAACCCTTACACTGCTGAATTACTTATATGGACGTAACAAACTTCCAGTCTTGGAACTGGCCACTGTGAATTTTGGCAATATCAAGATGAAAATTTAAAGTTGGTCAGCCAACAGATTAGAGCCTGGTCAGACTGTATGGTAATGCTGACTGACCTTGCTCTATACTGGTGGCAAAGGCTTATTAATTACACAGCAGTGTAAATGGTGTGCATATTGTTTGGCTTCTTTTTATACCCCCAAAAACAAGTTTGGGGGGGTATATAGGAGTCACCTGGTGGTCGGTCAGGCGGTCGGTCGGTCCAGACGTCCGTTGCAATTTCCTTATCCGGAGCATAACTTGAAGACTAATGGTTGGAATTCAATATAACTACATACAATGGTCAAGCACACTGAGAGGAAGTGCAGTGCACAAGAACCATAACTCTATCTTGACTAATTACAGAGTTATTGCCCTTTGTTACTTTTCCTTGTCCGGGGCATAACTTGAAAACTACTGGTTGGAATTCAAAACAACTTCATACAATTGTCAAACACAATAAGTGGAAGTGCAGTGCACAAGAACCATAACTCTATCTTTAGTAATTACAGAGTTATTGCCCTTTGTTGCTTTTCCATTGCTTTTTTTTTTTGTCCGGACCATAACTTGAAGACTAATAGTTTGAATTCAATATAACTACATACAATGGTCAAGCACATTGAGAGGAAGTGCATTGCACAAGAACCATAACTCTATCTTGACTAATTACAGAGTTATTGCCCTTTGTTACTTTTCCTTGTCCGGGGCATAACTTGAAAACTACTGTTACTTTTCCTTGTCCGGGGCATAACTTGAAAACTACTGGTTGGAATTCAAAACAACTTCATACAATTGTCAAACACAATAAGGGGAAGTACAATGCACAAGAACCATAACTCTATCTAAAGTAATTACAGAGTTATTGCCCTTTGTTGCTTTTCCATTGCTTTTTTTTTGTCTGGACCATAACTTGAAGACTAATAGTTTGAATTCAATATAACTACATACAATGGTCAAGCACATTGAGAGGAAGTGCAGTGCATAAGAACCATAACTCTATCTTGACTAATTACAGAGTTATTGCCCTTTGTTACTTTTCCTTGTCCCGGGCATAACTTGAAAACAACTGGTTGGAATTCAAAACAACTTCATACAATTGTCAAACACAATAAGGGGAAGTGCATTGCACAAGAACCATAACTCTATCTAAAGTAATTACAGAGTTATTGCCCTTTGTTACTTTTCCTTGTCCGGGGCATAACTTGAAAACTACTGGTTGGAATTCAAAACAACTTCATACAATTGTCAAACACAATAAGTGGAAGTGCAGTGCACAAGAACCATAACTCTATCTTAAGTAATTACAGAGTTATTGCCCTTTGTTGCTTTTCCATTGCTTTTTTTTTGTCCGGACCATAACTTGAAGACTAATAGTTTGAATTCAATATAACTACATACAATGGTCAAGCACATTGAGAGGAAGTGCATTGCACAAGAACCATAACTCTATCTTGACTAATTACAGAGTTATTGCCCTTTGTTACTTTTCCTTGTCCGGGGCATAACTTGAAAACAACTGTTACTTTTCCTTGTCCGGGGCATAACTTGAAAACTACTGGTTGGAATTCAAAACAACTTCATACAATTGTCAAACACAATAAGGGGAAGTGCAATGCACAAGAACCATAACTCTTTCTAAAGTAATTACAGAGTTATTGCCCTTTGTTGCTTTTCCATTGCTTTTTTTTTTGTCTGGACCATAACTTGAAGACTAATAGTTTGAATTCAATATAAATACATACAATGGTCAAGCACATTGAGAGGAAGTGCAGTGCATAAGAACCATAACTCTATCTTGACTAATTACAGAGTTATTGCCCTTTGTTACTTTTCTTTGTCCGGGGCATAACTTGAAAACAACTGGTTGGAATTCAAAACAACTTCATACAATTGTCAAACACAATAAGGGGAAGTGCATTGCACAAGAACCATAACTCTATCTAAAGTAATTACAGAGTTATTGCCCTTTGTTACTTTTCCATTGATTTTTTTGTCCGGACCATAGCTTGAAGACTAATGGTTGGAATCCAATATAACTACATACAATGGTCAAGCACATTGAGAGGAAGTGCAGTGCATAAGAACCATAACTCTATCTTGACTAATTACAGAGTTATTGCCCTTTGTTACTTTTCCTTGTCCGGGGCATAACTTGAAAACTACTGGTTGGAATTCAAAACAACTTCATACAATTGTCAAACACAATAAGGGGAAGTGCAGTGCACAAGAACCATAACTCTATCTAAAGTAATTACATAGTTATTGCCCTTTGTTACTTTTCCATTGCCTATTTGTCCGGACCATAACTTGGAAGACTAATGGTTGGAATTCAATATAACTTCATACAATGGTCAAGCACATTGAGAGAAAGTGAAGTGCACAAGAACCATAACTCCATCTTGACTAATTACAGAGTTATTGCCCTTTGTTACTTTTCCTTGTCCAGAGCATAAATTTAAAACTACTGTTTGGAATTCAATACAACTTCATACAGTTGTCAAGGATATTAAAAGGAAGTGCAGTGCACAAGAGCCATAACTCCTTTTTGACAAAATACAGAGTTACTGCCCTTTGATACTTTTCCTTGTCAGGAGCATAACTTAAAATGTACTGGTTGGAATTCAAAACAACTTCATACAATGGTCAAGCACAATAAGAGGAAGTGCAGTGCACAAGAACTATAACTCTATCTTCAGTATTTATAGAGTTATTGCCCTTTGTTCCTTTTCTTTGTCTTTCTGGACTTATTACAGAGTAATTCAATTAAACTTCATCAATGGCCAACCACATTGAAAGGAAATGGAACATATAAGAACCACAACTATCTTTAATTGCCCACAACCATAACTCTATATTTCAATTATTAGTCCCCTACCGGTTTACCGGAGGGGACTTTAGGTTTACCCTCCGTCCGTCTGTCCGTCCGTCCACAAAACTGGATCCCGCGATAACACAAAAAGTACTGAAAATATTTTAATGAAACTTGATATATGGATAGATGGCAGTATGGAGATTATGCACGTCTTTTTCTTTTCTTCCTATGTTGAAAATTCTGGTTGCTATGGCAACAAATAGACTGAAAATAGGGCAAATTTTACACATAACCTGGATCCCGCAATAACGCAAAAAGTACTGAAAATATTTGTATGAAACTTGATATATGGATAGATGGCGGTATGGAGATTATGCACATCATTTTCTTTTCTTCCTATGTTGAAAATTCTGGTTGCTATGGCAACAAATAGACTGAAAATATGGCAAATTTTACACATAACCTGGATCCAGTGATAACACAAAAAGTACTGAAAATATGTTTATGAAACTTGACATATGGGTATATGGCAGTATGGAAATTATGCACATCCTTTTCTTATCTTCCTATGTTGAAAATTCTGGTTGCTATGGCAACAAATAGACTCAATTTCAAGATTTCTGATTCTAGTTTTTAAGTTTTTTCACTATAAGTTCTTTATTTCTTAAGGTATTTTCTTCAAACTTTAAATATAAGTTGCTTGTAATCAACCACATCATATGTGACAAGGTTTACAACTCTAGCACAAAATTTATCAGAATTACCTCCCTTGAACTTAAAATTTTCATGAAAAAACATTGTTTTTTTTAATAACTTCTTTTTCTGAATGTATCTACTTCAAACTTCATATAAATGTTTCTTATTATCACTCAACATTTGTGAGTGTTCAATACTCTAGCAAGACTATTTCCAGAATTATGCCCCTTTTGAACTTAGATTTTTTTTTTGAGAAATTGGTAATTTTTACTCCAACTTCTTCAATCATGATAGGATTTTTAATATGTTATATTTTGATAACAGGGATGTTTAAAAAAATAACTTTAGAGTGTCCATCAGTCCGTCTGTCTGTACATAAAAACTGTTTCCTGTGATCACTTTTAAAGAACTTTTTCAACAAATTTACTTAAAATAGGAACATAAGTGAATGGCCAATGGCCCTTCAGAATGTTGCTTGGGCTCTTACCGGTAGGGGACTTATGGATTGCTTGCAATACTATGATAATTGCTTGTTTTACAAGGTATTCTGTTACTAGTAACATCCTCATTTCCGAAGCAGTCTTGTTGGGGTATTAATCACATTTAGTGATAGTTCTAGTTTGTTTAGCAGTCATGTGTTTAATAATAGTAAGCATGGGAAATATGTTTAAAGTAAGAAAAGCACAGAAAGCTGTACCACATCTTAGTTTGAGATTGTAGTTGTACTTTTAGTTTGAAATGCTTTACATACACACTATGTGGAACTGCTCCACTTCTTCTTTGTTGTTTTAATGAGCTTTTAGTGGCAAATATATCAGTAATTTAATCCATGCCCCACTGGTTTTGTGTAATTAAATTATTGCCTCAGAAACAAATATTTTTAACTTCTTTAGAAAGGGAAGACATGAGATTTATAACAATTAAATAATGGTTTTATAGCATGTTGGAGGGTTATCACCTGAAGAAATTTACGCTGAATGTGATATATTTTTATCATAATAGTAGCAAAATGTAAAACAAAGTACATGGTGTATTATTTTAACTTCCATACAAAATACTAATTCACTATAACAGTACTATTTGCCAAAAAGCAATAGAAGCAAAAGATAGCTCAGGTAATTAGCCAGTTAGTAACTTTTCAGAAATTATAACAGGACACCAAATGTTATAACAAAACAATAATTTTTGCTAATTTCTTGCATTGTTATTCGTAGTTTGTGAGAAATACACTGCATGAATTTTGAAAACGAATTTTAAAATGTACATAATAATAAACACACACACGGTTAGGCGTAGTATGTGTTTTGAAATGTTTTTTCTTTTCTTTCAATTCCACGATAGATTGATATATTTATAAATATTTAATGAAACCTGTCGGCGTCCGCATCCAGATTTCAGATTAAAGTTTTGGTGCATTAAAATATTTTTCACTATAACTCTGTCATTTCTTCAGGGATCAATTTCATACTTCAAATATATGTTCCTTATCATCGTCCACATCTTATGTGACAAGTTCATAACTCTAGCTTTGATATTTACAGATTTATCTCCCCTTGAACTTTAGAATTTTCCATAAAAATATTACTTTTTACTGTAACTTCTTTATTTCTTAAGGGATCAACTTCATACTTCAAATATATGTTCCTTATCATCAACCACATTTTATGTGACAAGGTTCATAACTCTAGCACCAATATTTTCAGATTTATGCCCCCTTGAACTTTGACTTTTCCTTAAAAAATATTATTTTTTACTGTTACTTATTTATTTCTTAAGGGATCAACTTCATACTTCAAATATATGTTCCTCATCATTAACCACATGTTATGTGACAAGGTTCATAACTCTAGCACCAATATTGCAAGAATTATCTCCCCATAAACTTTAATTTTTTTTTGTTTGAAAAATGTTATTTTTTACTATAACTTATTTAGTTTTAAAGATATCTACCTCAAACTTCAAATAATTATTCCTTATCATCAGTTACATCTTATGAGAAAAGGTTCATAACTATGGAAGCAATAGTTTCAGATTTATCTCTCTTTGAACTTAGGATTTTCTTTAAGAAATATTATAACTTCTTTACTTTTTAAGGTATCTACTTCAAACTTCAAATATATATTTCTTATCATTACACACATGTTGTGTGACAAGGTTCATAACTCTACCATGACTATTTCCAGAATTATTCCCCCTTGAACTTGAAATTTATGTCAACAAATGTTTAATTTTTTACTATAACTTAATACATAATTATACATAATTGATTTTTGTATTTTCTGATCACAGATCAGAAAATTCAATGCTGACATTCAATCTCTGACACAGAAGCTTCACGACAAACCTAACAACAAGTAGTTCTCAAAACATCTTAAAACTAGCGATGTAAAAGAAAGAAAAATTTTTATTTTGTTACAAGTATCAAACAAAGTACAACGCATTCAAAGTTTAAAAGTAGCGTTGACTTATAGAATTGTCAATTCAGCAATTACACGGATGAATATGAAAATGCCATTTTTAGCAATGTCGATTAACGAATTCCTCAGAGCGTATTACACAGTCGAGTAGTGGAATATATACATGTCGGACTGTTTTGGCGAGAAGATTTTCGCTAAATTATTTACATCAATGTTAAACAACAGCTAAATATAAGATTTATATAATTATCTGTGGGATTACAAACCCTGCATGGATATTCTAAAATTAGAATTAATAGATTTTATTCAGGCTGTTATCGTTAAACATCTCGGTGGTGCAGGGGTAACGCGCTTGATTAGGGTGTGAGAGGTCTGGGGTTCAATGCCCAGACGAGGCAACTTTTTTTTTATTAAGGAAGTAGCCACGATATGCAAGGATAAAAGGATAAAGTGTGGCTGTCAAAAACAATGAACATAAATAAATTTTGATGCAACTCTAGTCATGCAAAATTCTGTATGATTGTATCAAACACAAACTGTTATAGTAAAAAATCCAAACACAGTCGCTGCATCTCTGTGCCCTGCAAGGTGAATTATAGTATATAAAAATAAACTTATACAGGAAAATACATATGAGGATTTTTCAGGCTAACAATAAAAATATCATAGCACACAAACTTTGAAAGAACTTTCACAGAATGATGTATTGGTGCTTGTTCAGTCACTTATGTTTACTATTATCAAACTAGAGAACACATAAAAGTCATTCCATATCAAACTTATGAACAAAAGATAATTATATTCATGGACAACGCCATGTAATGTTCCTGCGTAATATTTTGAAATTGTGATGATTAACTTCTCGATTTTGGTTTTCAAGCGTTTAAAAATAGAAACAGAATTGCTTTCAAAATTACAAAAGCTCACCAATGATTGGCTGTTTGAAGTCTCGAGAAGTGACTCCATATTTGGTGATGGTCAGATCTAAATGCAGAGCATTATTAGAGCTGATTTTAATCAGATTGAAATTCCTTAAACTTTGAATGAAATGTTCTAAAATAGAAACTAGGAAAATCCATAATACAAATTCAATAGGTTAAGGGTCAAAGCTGTTCATGAAGAAACATTGATTCCTCAACTTTCTTTATCTCATATGACTTGACTTTCTGTTGTTTTTTTCTCACTTCAGAATTTTGAATTAGAGACAGACAATGGCTTAAAAGGACAAGAAAAAGACAGTAGTGTATTAGATAGTGGTTTACATTCCCCAAGAAATGATGATGACAAAGATTCAAACAGACCAGCTAGTTGAGAATTACTCTCCAAACTTAGATGTTCTTATTAATTATTTATCTATTTATTGCATTAAATGGGGACATTTTCCTTGTTATTGACGTGCACAGCATTCCTGCCAGGAAATGAGAAGCAATCTCATGCTAATATTTTCCTCTAGACTGCAAGCAGTGTGAACTATTGATGTCTTGTCTTCTAGAACATTTTGCTACCTTTAGAAATTGTGAAAGAAAATATTTTTGTTAAAAGTTGTGTATTTTACATCACTTAACTTGCATTTTCAGTGTGATTTCACTCAGCATATATGTTGTCATCATTCTCCTGTAACAAATACCTGTAAGTGTCTAAATAATATTTTGGTACTAGGAATGTAATAAAGCGTGTGTTCATAGCATTCTACACAATAGAATAAGGTATGACCCTCCTCATGCATTACGTCCGCATTGAAGAGGATTCAAATAGGATAAAACTACTGTCAACTGCATTGACATTGAATGTCATGTTGAAAAAAAGGAGAGGTATTGTTATAGTCCTGGCGGCGTTGCCGGTGCTGTTGCCGCCTGCAAACTTGTACCTGGATCATAACTTCTTTAGTTCTTGGTGTATTGTCTTCATACTTTGCCACAACAACCCTTGGGACAAAACCTTTCAGTAGACCACACTAACCTTGACCTTTATCCATAAGTGACCTTGACCTTCAAGGTCAAAAGTCCAAATTTTGCTTGTTCTTCCTATTATTGGCTGTAACTTTGTTATTTTTGAAATGGATTGTCTTCAAACTTGAACATAATAATCTTCAAGGATAGCCCTTTAAAATAACCAGTTAAACCTTGACTTTGAAGGTCAAATTATTGAAATTTTCATTTTTTGGTTAATATTGACTGTAACTTTGTTATTTTTGAATGGATTGTCTTCAAACTTGAACATAAAAATATTGAAGGATAGCCCTTTAAGATAACCAGACAGACCTTGACCTTCACTCAAAAATGATCATGAATTTGAAGGTCAAATTATTGAAATTTTCATTTTTTTGCTGTAACTGGCTGTAACTTTGCTATTATTGCATTTTTTTTTTCTGTAATACACATGGGGATATATAGATATATATTGAAAGGATTCATACTTTGACAAAACTAATGTGACAAAACAGACCGATTAAATTTATAAAAAGGAAATGTTAAGATTTCTTCAAGCGTTTCTTTGTTTGCTTTTAGAAATAGCCCGGCGGTGACTCTTGTTATTATATAATTAACATGCTAAATTTAAGAACAAATATGGTACCTGATATTTTCAGAGTGTGACAGGGTAAAAAGAATTTAATATTTGATAAGATCAACCAAAATGCTTTTCAGAAAATTTTGGGCAAACTTTGAAAACAGCCCCTCATTTTGATAAATTTTAGGGATTCTTTTAATTTGGCTCTTTTATTAGGAAATACGTCAAACAAGTGTTTGAAATGGGTGGGGTAGGATAACATTTTTGTACATGTATTTCAAACATTTTGAGTAGAAACAATCATTTTGCTTGTGCAATTTGTTAGCTGAATGTTAATATCTGTTTTTCAACAATAACTAACAGGAAACATTTTAAATAAGAATGTTATTATAGATTATTTAAAGTTTGCGCGTTTCTACAAAAGGGGCCTTCTAATATCCCAGGTTTAGTTAAGAAAAGTGTCTATAACTGGTAAACTGTACAGAAAATATTGTTTAAATTTTGCACACGTGTTATTTAAGGCATATAACTGACCTATGTTGTCAAGTTCTTATTTCCTAATAGTGCCTATCAGGGGCAGTCATACCTGAAATAAATTCTGTATAAACCAAATGTTTTGGGGGGGGGGGGGTTTGTTGAAAAAAATGTTTTTGTCTTTCAAAGTTCAAAATAATTTGATCATTAAACTAGAGCTGTAACATTTAATACTTTAACCTTAACTTAAAAACAAGTGCATAATGCCATTTACCTTGATATTAGTGATGGCCTCATTTTTCAAACTAACTAAGGGATATATGATAACTTACATCATGCTTATATGCCTATGTTTGAAGAAATTGAGCAGAATGAACAGTTAAACTGAGATATTTGATTTATTTATATATGATATTCTTTTAAGTACAATAATACCTTAATCAGTTAAAGGGTGACTTGCTGTGTAATAGTGAAAAAGGCAGTTGTATAGTAGACATATATGTGTTCTATGAGTCAAATGTTTGCTTTATGTTCTGTGTTATTAATAGGTTTTGTTCACACAATAAACATGCACATTACTTCCTAATGTTAACATAATATATGTATCTTTTTATGCCACTGCAGCATCTGCGATGTGGTGGCATTTAGCGATTCACCTGTGTGTTTGTGTGTGTGTTCTATAGATTATATAGTGAACTTAAAAAATCTTCTTGTGAAAAATCACTAGTCCAATTTCAACCAAACTTGGCAGGATTGATCCTTGGGTGAAGGGCTTCCAAAGTTGTTCAAAGAATTTCATTCCATGCAGAAATCTGGTTGCCATGGCAACCAAAAGGAATTATAAGAATAAATTTAAAAAATCTTCTTGTAAAGACCCAAAAGGCCTACAGCTTAGATATTTTGCATAAGGCATTGTCTGGTAGACCTCTACCAAGATTGTTCAAATTATATCCCTGGGGTCAAAATTGGCCCTGCCCCGGGGGTCATTGATTTTTATTTGTTTGGGTCGTCAGACCAAACAAATAATGGTAGCGAAATTTCAGAGTCTAATGTTCTTATTGCAAATGCCGAAAGTAGTCCACTTTTTTGAAGCGGTTACTTCCCTTTTGTATGTACAGTAAAAACCCGCTTTACGACCACCCCGTTTTCGAGACCAACCCGCTAATACGAACGATTTTTTAAAGACCCGAATTTTTTATTCTTTATTTTAATGGTCGCTAACCCCGATTTTGAGACCACCCCGTTATTCCGAAATGCGACCAGTAAATTCAGTCCCATTTCGTAAATTCTGTACATTTGGAAACCCATAAATACGACCGCGGGCACTTTCTCACCTTGATATTGACATGCGTGTAAATTGCTGAAATCTTTTTGACACGTGATGTAAACAACAGTTGTCCTAGTTTTACGACATTTAACGACATCCAGTTTACGGCAGAGGTCAAGGTTACTTTGTATCAAACCCGGATTTGATCAATAATATTGTTGATAATTTCTTAATTTCACACCTTTAATGTCATAACTGGGGGGTTAAAACAACAAAGTATTTGCTGGTGTTGCTGCTGTCATTATCTCTTTCGTTCCATAACTTTAAACAAATACGATTAGATTTTTGAAGTTGTTATCGGCGATGAAAACTGTGAAAATAATTAAAGGTTAATTGTTCGGTGTGCTTTGTAGTAAAATGGTGATTTAATAGAGTAAGTCGTGTCATTCTTTTAACAAGAATGTAAAAATATGTTTGTGTTTAAAGACATTCATAATACATTTTGTACAAAAAAAATTAAACAAATAAACATTTTGTACCTCTAAAGAAGTTAAAAAATTTTATTATGTTAAAAAGTAAAAGAAAATAAATGAAAATAAAAAATAATAGTGTATGCTTTATATCTTCTTATTTGAAATAGGTTAGCCCAGAATTAAACATGTGTACAGTACATGGTATCCCTTAATATATTGCCTGGTTTTCTGTTTGGCCAAACTCATTAATGAGACCAACCTGCTAATAAGACCAGATTTGTAAAGTCCCTTCATTGGTCTCATTAGCGAGTTTTTACTGTACACTAAAGCCGAAAAATTCAGGGGAGATCACTGCGTAAAGATGGTCAAAGACAGGCGCATCAATTTTCAAGCAAAGTAATTCCCGAATGGTCGAAGATTTCTAATATTGTTTTCTGGTATTTTCTGATCGAAAATAACTAAATACAAAGCGGACATTCAATCTCTGACACAGAAGTTTATGACAAACCTAACAACAAGTAGTTCTCAAAACAGCTTAAAACTAGCGATTTAAAAGAAAGAAATATTTTATTTTGTTACAAGTATCCAACAAATTACAACGCATTTAAAGTTAAACAATAGCGTTGGCTTATAGAATTGTCAATAAATGCACAATCACAAATTACGCGGATGAATATGATTTTATCAATGAAAATACTATTTTTAGCCATGTAGATTACCGAATACTACACAAACCGAGTAGTGGAATATATAGATTCTACATGTCGGACTGTTTGGGCGAGAGGATTTTCGCTAAAATATTTACTTCAATTTTAAACAACAGGTTTACCCTGAACAAAATACCTCGAAATTAATAAGGATTACAAACCTGAATGCAATGGAAGTTCTAAATTTAGAATGACTTGATATTATTCAGACATTCAGTGTATAACTTCTCCGTGGTACAGTGGTAACGCGCTCGCTTAGTGAGTGAGAGGTCTCGAGTTCGAATCCCAGTCGAGGAAATTTTTTTTTTGTTAAATTCTTTTTTTAATTGTTTTTGTTAAGGAAGTAGCCATGATTTACAAGGATAAAGTGTGGCTGTCGTAAAAAAAGTACATAAATGACTTTTTGATGCAACTCTAGTTATGCATAATTCCGTATGTGCCTTACAAAATGAATTATAATACATAAAAATAAACTTATACAGGAAAATGCATACAGATATACAGTACGATTTAGATTGCAAAGATCAGAAAATACCAAAGAACTTGAAGCCCTTTGATTCTTTATAAATATACATGCTTATAGTAAGCTTCAGGATTATTTACATCTGTGTTAAACAACAGTTAAAAGTCGTTACAAGCCCTAATTTAGAATAATATGGTTTTCTTCAGGCCGTTCACATATAAATTTAACCGTGGCTGAAGGGTTTTCGGGCTCGCTTAGGAAGCGAGAGGTCTGGAGTTCAAATCCCAGTAAAGGTAACTCATTTTTTTAAATTGTTAAAGTCAAATAAACATTGGATTGAATATCAGTGTTGCAATTAGTCTTATAGCCAATTTACTACAATTAAAACGCTGGAAAGCATTGGTGGCACTAAACATATAATCTCACAACCTGCACCTTTCTTACATTCTGAGACCCAAACAAATTCAGCGCCTTCTGTGCTTTGATTACTATATGTTCATATAGTAAAAACTTAAAATACCTTCTTGTAAAGACCCAAAAGGCCTAGAGCTTAGATATTTTACATAAGGCATTGTCTGGTAGCCCTAACCAAGATTGTTCAAATTATAGCCCTGGGGTCAAAATCGGCCCCGCCCCGGGGGTCATTGATTTTCACTATATGTACATTTATTAAAAACTTAAAATACCTTCTTGTAAAGACCCAAAAGGCCTAGAGCTTAGATATTTTGCATAAGGCATTGTCTGGTAGACCTCTACCCAGATTATTCAAATTATAGCCCTGGGGTCAAAATCGGCCCGCCCCGGGGGTTATTGGTTTTCCTTATATGTATATAGTAAAAACTTATAGTAAAAACTTTAAAAAAAATTTCTTCTAGCAATTGACAAATGCTAAAGGTTAGATATTTTGCATGAATTATTGTGTAGTGAACCTCTAGCAAGATTGTTCAAATTATAGCCCTGGGGTCAAAATTGCCCCCGCCCCCAGGGGTCATTGATTTTCAATATATACATATAGTAAAAAATCAAAAAATCTTATTGTCTGAAGGTACAAGGCTAAGAGCTTTAATATTTGTTAAATGATATCATCTATAGGTACTCTACCAAAGTTGTTCAAATTTTGCCTCTAGTATCAAAATAAGCCCCGCCCCTGGGGCCATAGGTTTTCCTTATATGTATAAAGTAAAAACTTAAAAAATCATCTTCTCTAATTTTACAAAGGCTAGAGTTAAGATATTTTGCATGAAACATTGTGTAGTGAAACTCTAGCAAGATTGTACAAATTATAGCCCTTGGGTCAATATTGGCCCCACCCCCAGGGGTCATTGATTTTCACTATGTACATATAGTAAAAAATTAAAATCTTCTTGTCTGAAGGTACAAGGCTTAGAGCTTTGATATTTGGTATATAATATCGTCTATGGGTCCTCTACTAAAGTTGCTTTAATTATGCCCCTAGTGTTGAAATTGCCCTGCCCCAGAGGCGATAGTTTTCCTTATATGTATAAAGTAAAAACTTGAAAAATCTTCTTTTCTGAATTGACAAAGGCTAGAGGTTAAATATATGGCATGAGACTTTGCCAAGTGAACCTCTACCAAGATTGTTCGAATTATAGCCCAGGGGTCAAAATTGGTTCCGCCCCAGGGGTCATTGATTTTCATTATGTACATATAGTAAAAAAAAACAACAAATATTTTTGTCTGAAGGTACAAGGCATAGAGCTTAGATGTTTGCTATATAATATCATCTATAGGTCCTCTACCAAAGTTGTTCAAATTTTTCCCCTGGTGTCAAAATTGGCCCTGCCCGGGTGCAGTGATTCTCATTATGTACACATAGTAAAAACAGAAAATAAAACAAATGTTTTCTGAATGGGAGAAAGCTACAGCTTAGATATTTGACTTGAAATGTTGTTTGGTGGATAAAGTGTATCAAGATTGTTTTGAATTAAACCCTTGGGTCAAAATTCTGCCTTGCCCAAGGGGACAGTGACCTTCTTTATTGTCCTTTGATGTACAGCAATGAAATTTTGTTCATGTGCACAGTTTTAGTTGTAAAATTGAACTTTGATATCAGGTGACCTAGATTTTGATGATGTGACCTACTTTCTTGTCCTTTGATGTACAGTTTTGAAATTTGAACCATGTGCACAGATTAAGATGTAAAATGAACTTTGATATCAGCTGACCTAGATTTTGAAGTGTCTTACTGTGTTGTCCTTTGATGTAGTCATGAAATTTTGGCTGTGTGAAATATGACCTTCACCACCAAATTTACTTGACTCAAGTGCATTGATATATTCCTACTCTGATCTTTTATTGGATTAACAATAGATTAAACCACTAGTCTGATAATAAGAATTAGATAGGTCAGGGATCTATGCATTATGACAAGAAACAAAAAAATCTATATCTACACTACTATTTAGTGTTGTATTAATGCGGTGGCATAGCATTTTTCTCAAATGCAATCTTGTTATATGCCTGAAAACATTTTGGGCACATATTGTTGCGTATCTAGTCGCCTGTGTGTCTGTTAGCAATTTGATGTCTTGATTGTATTTTTAGAAAGGGGGGAAAGGCAATTGTTACTACTTGGCAGGAATGTTAACCATAGAGGGCAGGTTTGACCTTCCTCAGGTCAAGGTCACATTACATCATTTTGTATGAATTTTAGAATTATGTTTCCACTCTGTATCTTTTGAACTGATTAAAAAAATGCAAATTTTTTGGCAGAAAAAATTTCTTACAATGAAACAATGTGCAGAACACAGGCAGTTGGTTCCTGGCTTGTATAGTGTACATGTTCATGACCATATGCACTTCTTTAAATAAATAAAATATTTTTGTATTCAAAATGTTTTTAAAAAAGCTTTTTTTCAATAAAACAATAAAAGGATGTTTGTTTGTTTTTTTTTAAATTAATTTCATCCATATTATCCATAAATATTTTTTTTTACACTTGTAGTATAGTACCTGCTATGCCTCTTTATTTGCCATATAGCATTGCATGATAAACCTCAAAAGTTCTTTGAATCATGCTACTTGGGTAAAAAGGGCCTACACCTTGGAGGTCATATAGTATCATAAGGATAATTAAGATAAAACATTTTATCAGACAAGTTGCTTTATTGGGTTTCTTCCCTAATTGAAAGATTATTTTTGATTACACAAACAAATTTACATTCAGGCATATATTGCCCTGTCTGTGTAGGTCTCTTGTTTTCGAAAATAACCAATGTACATTTTCAATATTTACTCCTAACATTTTGTCTTTAGTTTGTTAGTAGTCTTCCATTTGCATAAAGTACCTATAGTGATAATTTCATTGATTCAGATAATTGTGTTGATATGTACATTAAATCATCCAGTCTCATTGTATTTAAAAACTTAAGTAAAATTGTATGTTATTTTAAATGAGGTAAGACATACCTTTTAAGTAATAGGTAGAGTTGTTAAGTTGAACAATTTATGTTGTTCATGTAGTCATCTAGGTTTGAACATTGGTGAGACCTGATACTAAGCTGAGCTTGTTAGACCATTTTATTTGATGTTTTCCCTTTTAAGCAGTTTAGAACACTTTGACCTAAATATTATGACCTAAAAAATGATTAATTCTAAGATTCTTATCAAACTTTCTGTATAATGTTTGATAACCAGTAGTTATCTGCCTTTAGTTGATCACCCTAATGTCTCATTGAATGAAAATGCAGATAGAAAACTGAGGAAAGTTATACTGGTAAATCAGGCACAGTTGTACTGTATCACCAATATTATCATATACATGTACATGTATTTGTTCTTTCATATCAGATATGTAGATTTTTGTTTGCTCAGGACAAGTTTTATGTCTTTGTTTAGATTCACACCGTTTTGTTGTGTTTATTTTTCAGCTCACCCGAGCACAAATTGCTCAAGGTGAGCTTTTGTGATCACAATTGGTCCATTGTCCATAAGTGCATCTGTACAGTTCATATATTTTTCAAACGATTTCTTCTCTGAAACCACTGGTCCAAATTTGATGAAATTTTTCCAAAATGTTTCTAGCATGAAGCTATACTAAAATAGACTTTCTCCAGAATTAAGAATATTTTGGGTATTTCCCAGCTAATCCAGTGGGTACAAACAAATTTTTACAGTTATAGCTTCGAAAATGAGTGCAACAGGTTGACTACCAGTAGTGCATTTTGAAGCTATAACAGTCAATATTTTATTATACCGGGGGATTATCTTCGAAAAAAACCCACATTTGCCAAGTTGCAGATAACTTCTATTGTTCAAATTGTTCTGTGCCATTGATCATCTGGGTCAGAAGGGCAAAAAAAAGATTTTGAAAATGAAATCTTAAAAAATCTTTGCTGAAATTGCAAGGCCTAGAGCTTAGATATTTTGTGTTTGATATTTGGTATATAATATCATCTATGGGTCCTCTACCAAAGTTGTTTTAATTATGCCCCTAGTGTTGAAATTGCCCTGCCCCAGAGGCGATAGTTTTCCTTAAATGTATAATGTAAAAACTTGAAAAATCTTCTTCTCTGAATTGACAAAGGCTAGAGGTTAAATATATGGCATGAGACTTTGCGAAGTGAACCTCTACCAAGATTGTTCAAATTATAGCCCTCGGGTCAAAATTGGCCCCGCCCAAGGGGTCATTGATTTTCACTATGTACATATAGTAAAATATTTTTTTAAAAATCTTCTTGTCTGAAGGTACAAAGTATAGAGCTTTGATGTTTGCTATATAATATCATCTATAGGCCCTCTACCAAAGTTGTTCAAATTTTTCCACTGGTGTCAAAATTGGCCCTGCCCGGGGGTATTGATTCTCATTATGTACACATAGTAAAAACAGAAACTAAAACAAATGTTTTCTGAATTGGAGAAAGCTACAGCTTAGATATTTGACATGAAACATTGTTTGAGTTAAACCCTAGGGTCAAATTTTTGCCCTGCCCAAGGTGACGGTGACCTACTTTCTTGTCCTTCGATGTACAGCAATGAAATTTTGACCATGTGCACAGTTTTAGTTGTAAAATTAAACTTTGATATCAGGTGACCTAGATTTTGATGATGTGACCTACTTTCTTGTCCTTTGATGTACAGTTATGAAATTTGAACCATGTGCACAGATTAAGATGTAAAGTGAACTTTGATATCAGCTGACCTAGATTTTGACAAAGTGTCTTATTGTGTTGTCCTTTGATGTACAGTCATGAAATTTTGGCTGTGTGAAATATGACCTTCACCACCAAATTCACTAGACTCAACTGAATTGATATATTCTTACTCTGATCTTTTATTTGAATAACAATAGATTTAACCACTAATCTGATAATAAGAATTAGATAGGTCAGGGATCTATGCATTATGGCAATCTTCAATTGTATAGAAACAAAAACAAATCTGTTCCTACACTACTATTTAGTGTTGTATTAATGTGGTGGCATAGCAATTTTCACAAATGCAATCTTGTTTCTTCTGAATTTTGATGATATTTCCTTAACATTGTCATTTATTTATGGAAGGATTCATACTATCACAAAACTAGTGTGACAAGACAGACCTATTAAAATTATAAAATGGATACATTAAGATTTGTTCAAACCGTTTCTTTGTTTGCTTTTAGAAAAAGTAAAAAGTCGAGCATTGCCCCCATCCAGCGGTGGCTCTTGTTATTTTTAAAGTTTGTCCAGACTACTCCTCTTATACCACATATGCAATTTCAATGATGCACTTTCAATGAAACTTGTACTTGTGCATATTGCACAAATTTTCTCGTTGAATGATTTTTGGCTAGGTTATGGCCCTTGAAGAAAAAAGGTACTGTAGTCTCTTTGTGTGTTACCAGCTTCACAGAAGCTTGTCCAGACTACTTTTAGAAACTACAATTTTATCCAAACTTTACAGGAATGATCGGTACTAAGTCTAGTTGTGGATATTATCAGCTTTTCATGGTTCAATAATTTTGTTGGAGTTATGGCTCTTTAATTATTTTTAAAGTTTGTGCGGACTACTCCTATACCACTCATGCAATTTCAATGAAACTTAAAGGATTGATTGGTAGCTCAAGTTCTTGTGCATGTTTTCCACTTGAATGATTTATGTCCGAGTAATGGCCCTTTAATAAAAATGGTGTTTTTTGTGTTGCCAGCTATAAAGAAGCTTGTCTGAACTACTCCTCATAAACTACTGGTGCAATTTCATCAAAACTGTACAGGAATGATCAATACCATGTCTAGTTGTGCATCTCATTAACATTTGTTGGTTGTCAGGTTTATGGCCTTTTAATGATTTGAATTTTTTTAAATTTGTCCGGACTACTCCTCAGATACCACTAATGCAATTTCAATGAAGTTCTTGTGCATATTACACAGGTTTTTAGATTGAATAATTTTTTGCAGAGCTATCATGAGGCGACACATGTGATCACTGATCGCTCTTGTTTGTTTACGACTGGCATAGAAACTTACAGTATTTTAGGTAGACATGCAAGAAAACTGTGTTGAGTTTGAAGTTATAAAAGCAAAGACTAGATTTAATGGGGGTTTCCTATAAAAGAACAAAAATCTTTAATCTAGACTCTTCCCATAATGTATCTCTAGTTAGAATGGACTGGATATAAAAGCCAAGAGAATGATTATATTTTTTTTGTTACAATTAGATAGGTTAGAGATTAATTAGAAATGTTATGTAAATAGGTGTTTGTTAGAGGTCTTTAATTTTAATTGCACATGTATATAGCTTTGTTAGAAGGTTGTATTAAAGTTTTTTTAAATTCTGCTACTATCATTATGATTATATATTATGTTATATAATTTAATGCATTGTGACCAAAAATAAAAACATATCAATAATTTATGTGGGTTTTTATTTTTCTGTTTATCCCTTCTTCCATCTGGTTCTCATATAAACACTGTTTAAAACACATATACTTTCTATGATTGCAAAAAGTGATACAATTTGAACTGTTTCAGCTTGCAATAAATGATAACAGTGATTCTGCTGAAACTTGAAAAGTTTATATTGTTTGGTTTTATTAACCTGTCAATTACATACTGATTACACGGTCGATGCACACAGTATATTAATCTTCGGTAGATTTCCGGTAAGTTCCGTGGGATGTTCGCTTTAGGATGCAATTTAATTTAATTTGTATTTATAAACTAAGTGTACTCAGCGTTATAGCGCAATAGGGTAAAGCACGAGTTAATAATCTACGTGCCACACGTGTTTTAAGTTCGAGACCGCGTTGGTCCATGTTTTTTTTTTTTTCTTATTAATACTTTCAACATTATTGAAGCTATATATCATTATTTTTTATGTCGTTCGTTTTGTTTTATTATGTTTTACTTAATTTTGTTAGTCTATACTCTTTTTAAATGACATATTTTAAGAATTCATGCTTAAAATTAAAACGGATTAAAATCAATAAATGTCTTTTCAATGCCGTAAAACACACAACAAATTTGTTCCCTTAAAATATACTGCAAAAATAAAGAAAGAGTACTAGTAGGCTTAAAACAATGGCAACAGTAAGGATCGAACCACAGACCTCTCAATTATCAGGCATTCTCGTAACCGACATTGTGAATTAACGAAAACCTTCACATTTAGCTGGCGTGACTTTCAATCCATGACTAATATACTCATACTAATATACATTAATTCTCGTAAACTACACAGACCAAACCGAAATGGGATCGCATATTTAAATGAGTGCTATAATGTATTCATAATTGACAGGTCAATAAAATCAGACTATACCTAGACATTTCTATCTTAAACGTACTTCTTAATACGGAATTAATTTGGGGGTTTTCTCAAAACATAAATACGGGGAAATAAGATAAAATGAGCAGTAGCTAAAACTGTGATGGAACGATTTCAACATATCAACATATTAAAGATGGAGACAATATAACCATAATGAATATAAAGAAAAAATAAAAACAACAAAAGCAATACAAGTTACTTAGTTCATAGACTTTTAATATTGTAGTGCTAATTCAACAAAAGACCACCATTCCATCAAGTTTTGAGTGTGTGAAAGCAGGGCTTAAGTTAATGCCATTACTGCTGTTCACAGAGTAGTTTTGGATTTTTTTTCGGAGGGGGGGGGGAGATTTCCTGTCGGTGGAACTGCTCTCTCATCGTTATTGTTGTCAACCTGTAATTCTGTCTGACGTAGACCGTCTGCGGGCTGCGGAGCTGAGCTCTATTAAATTAACCCCCCCCCCCCCAACATCATCGTCGTATGAATATTTGTATCAATATCTCTGTTAAAAATGTAGTAACACTTCAGTGTGAAATTGCACGAAGCGTTAGAATTATACATTTATATGTACAATTTCTATAATCTAACTTGTAAAGCATCAGACACATTAATATAATTGTTACATATCATAAACTTAAAAATTACAGTCGCCACAAACTGTCTCCAGTAAATATAATTTTATTGTTTGTGATATGGATACGTTGTTACCCAACCCTTAATTGTAACACTTGCTACCTTATTCAATGTGTGCATCGCGTATTTACAAGTTGAAATTCGCACATTTATACTTGCATTCTACATAACATTTGAGAATTACATCACTTGGCCAGTTTAGTTAACGTAGCGGCTGGGATAAACTGTCCCGCAGTTGGTGCAATAGATGGAACATCATACGAAATATTACGACTAATGGATAAGCCACAAGAACAATTATATTCTTGATACTGTCACTTCCACACTATCAACACATAAGTTATTGGAATTCAGATGATTCTTTTTTTATTCTAACATTCCAGATTTCGTGCGATGCCCACTGAAGCGTTACTTCATATTACACATATGATGACATTTACGTTTAGTCCTGTTTCCACACCATGTACCAACACTTACTAGTTTATCTTGAAAACGTCTTGGTTGAATCAAAGTGCTGAAAGCACTGGGTGGGACGGACATGAAAAGGGAATTGCATAAATGCTGTCAAAAAAGGACCAGGGTTTTCTTTATTATTTACAAAGGGCAGCCAGCAAAATTCTATGCCCGAGTTTTATGGAGCTTGGATAGAAACTTCCAATTATGACTAAAGACATGTAAAGGTTTCATATGAATATCTTCTGTTTTCTTTTGAAAACTGATGTTATATGTTTAAATGAATACCACAAGTATATATTTGTTGTCCTAAAGATTGATTTTCTTGCAAAGTTTTAAATTAAGATTTTTCTAACCTAAAAAAAGACTATTACTCTGTTAAAATGTTTGTTAGATATATAGGGTTCAGAGAGTAACCTCCATTTATAACCTCAAAATTGTCAATTTGTTCTGTCAATAAACTATGCTAGAGTTATTGGCTTTGCAAATTTTATTACGGACGATCTCAAAAATATTTGTGAAGTTACAAGTAAATATTTTTTAATTGTTTATGAAGTTCTATGCTGAACGTTGCCCCAAAATCTGTAACCAAAGTGGTATGCCAACGCGGACACTCATGACACCAAAATGAGAAGGATGGCAGGACATTTGAGCTAATGTTTCCATCAGGTTCCAGTCTTTTTTCATATACAAGTGACATAAGACCTTGCAGTATTTTAAATTTTATTTGTTCCGTGTTTGGTAACACAGAAAATTAATAAGGAAGTAATATTTTTCTCTCAAGAGTCAGGGCAAATTTAGAAGTGCACACATATTATGCAGAGTATGAAATAGGTCAAGATTTGTGAAGGGAGAGAATATCATTCGAACAGACTTACTCTGTTATTACAGGGCCGGGCCATAAGAATTCGTAGGGGAGTATGTTTGAAATGACCAAACTCCCCCTTTTGATGAGGGAGGGTCTGGCGGTTCTCCCAGGAAAAAAATGAAATTCATATGTTACCTTATGGCTTTTGGTGCAATATCATAAGTAAATGGTCAATTCAATTTTAATTTTCCATAAAAAATGTTCAATTTGAGACATATCTTAGTCTTATATCTGAACCGTACTTTAATATCTTGGTTACAAACTTGTACGTATCGTATTTGTCTAGAATATAGATCGAGGTCCAGTATGACATACTTCATGATGCTGGAGAAAACATACTTGTGTCGATTCTGTTCTTTCGCTAATAAAGTTTCTTTTTAATGTCAGTCTACGGTTTAAAATAATACAAAAGAAATAAACAATATTCCATTTCAATGTTTTAATAATTTGTATGGGTCGTATTTCTATAGTTAACTCTTTCCCCCATGAGCATATTGTGAAAAATGGCCATTTTCACTTAAAAGCCTCCTCTTACAAGTTCAAACTGCTATGAAACTATGAAAAATGCTTCAATACTAATCAAACTTGGCACAAATGTTGACTGGACCATTGCCTTTGTAACAACATGCTCAGTCTTTAATTTCCTGTTACCATGGCAACGAGGGGACATCTCAAAATTGCCAAAAATCACTATTTTGCCTCGATTTTTCCATCAAAATTTATTTCAAAGTGCTGCAACTTCTCAAGGGATTGAGATAGAGTCAAAGGCTTTTCAGCGTTGGTTACACGTTACCTTATGATCGACCTAGGGTCATTTTAAGCCTCTCACAAGTCCAAAATTTTCTTGGCTGACTTTTTTTAGCAACATTTCTCAAACGAAAACATGTGTTTGGGGCCCAAATAGGACATTTTTTCACTATGTCAGGCCTAAAAGGGGGGGGGGGGTCGGAAGTGCGTTGTTTCGCGTATATATGAGGTAAAGGGTTAATAAATAATAGTTCGCTGAATAAATGGTTTATGCATGTTATAAAGAAGTGTGCCACCAGTGACAAAAGAACTGTCTTTGAAACCAAATCTCAAAAATAGTACAACGACTGTTTTGTCTTACTGCCTGGATAATTGTTCTCTTTCATGTTTTTTTTCTTCAGAATTTATATTTTTTCGCCAGTCTCTACTGTTTACATATATATATATTCACTAATTCGAAAACTTAGGAAGATGCCACTACTACGACTGTTTTAATTTTATTGATTTTCATTATAAACAAAATATTTTTTGAAAAATTTGCAAGAGATATAAAAGAAATATTGATAATTTTCAAACACATCAATTATTTTCACCTTAAACGGTAAAGTAATGATAGAAAAATAGAAATATCATGTTATTGAATTTGTGTTATGTTCATCAATTAGTGTAAATTTCCCGCAGCTAAAACCGTAACGTGCCGGAATCCGGTGTTTAGCTAGGTTTTCCGAAAGCATAGGGATATAACTCGCATTGTGTACACCGGTCTTACTGACATAATTGGCATGCAAAAAAATGACCATATTTCTGATTGGATTTCGTTGATTTTATTTCAATAGTTTCAGTCAATTTTTGTACACATGACGTCAAAGTTGACCATCAAAGCCCGTTTTTAGCTCGACTATTCGCAGAATAATCGAGCTAATGCAGTCACCCATTTGTCGGCGTCGGCGTCGGCGTCGGCGTCGGCGTCCCTGTGGTTAAGTTTTTGTATGTAAGCTGGTATCTCCATAACTACTGAAGGGAATGGATTGAAACTTCACACACTTGTTCTCTGTGATTATCTAAGATGATTGGCACAAGTCCCATAACTCTGAATTGTTTTATTTCATAATTATGCCCCTTTTTCGACTTAGAAAATCTTGGTTAAGTTTTTGTATGTAAGCTTGTATCTCCATAACTACTGAAGGGAATGGATTGAAACTTCACACACTTGTTCTCTGTGATTATCTAAGATGATTGGCACAAGTCCCATAACTCTGATTTGCTTTTTTTCATAATTATGCCCCTTTTTCGACTTAGAAATTCTTGGTTAAGTTTTTGTATGTAAGCTGGTATCTCCATAACTACTGAAGGGAATGGATTGAAACTTCACACACTTGTTCT